CTACGGCCGCCACAGCTGGGGCGAGGAGAAGGCCGGGGCCTCCCGGGGCGTCCGCAGCGGAACCCTCCGCAGTGGCCAGCCCGCGGAGGACTTCCGCTCCCGGGGCTCGGGCCACAAGCAGCCCGGGAACCCCAAGCCCCGGGAGCGGCGGACGGAGTCGCCCCCTGCCTTCTGGACTTCCCACCCTCGGGCCAGCAACCCCAGCTCAGGGGGCGCCAAGCTGCTGGAGCTGGACGAGGAGAAGCTGAGCAACTATGAGATGGAAATGAAGCCCCTGCTGCGGGTGGACTCCCACGGGCAGGAGGCCTACCCCCAGAAGAGACGCTACAGTAGGGGGGCCGCCTGCCGGGGCCTGGGCGAGGACCGGGGCTTTGGGGCGCAGAGACTGAGATCCAAGTCCCAGAACAAGGAGAACGTGCGGCCGGCGGCGAGCGCGGAGCCCGCGGTGCAGAGACTGGAGAGCCTGCGGCTGGGCGACAGAGCCGAGCCCCGGCTGCTGCGCTGGGACCTGACCTTCTCCCCGCCCCAGAAGTCCGCGCCCGTGGCCCGGGAGTCCGACGAGGAGAACGGGGACGAGCTCAAGTCCAGCGCGGTGAGTGGCTGTCTGGTTAGTCCCCCATCCGGAGACGTCCATGGAGTCCGCTCTAGTCGAGTGCGTGGGGTGGGGTGGGGGTCAGGAGCGAACCCAGGCTGATGCCCTGGCTTCCAAGGACTGGGCCCTCCCTCCAGGAAGCCAGTGCAGGGCTGGGGGCATTTCCGTCAGACGAGACTCCGGAGGTTGGTCACAGGCTTGATCCTTTCAGTGAAACACTTGGGCAGGTTTGGAAGCTCCCAAAAGGAAGGTGGCAGCATGGGACCCAGCCTCGCCCAGACCTGCCCCAAGTTCCTCCAATTCCCTGTGCTGGAGTCTCCTGTGAGCCCCACCACCGCCCACGAGTCCCTACCCAGGAGAGACAGAGGGCCAGGCGCAGAGCAGGGGCGTCAGGCTGGGTCGGGTCCTTCTTACCTGCGGGCCAGGCACGGTGGTCCCATCTGCCGGGACACACGTGTCCTGCTCCAAGGCCTACTTTCTAATGGGTGAGACGGACAGTTCTGTGAGGCTGTCCACCCCTCGGCCCTGCCTGGGAAGCCGCGGTTCTCTGAGTATGGCACTGCGGGGCACTCCGGGAGTTCGTTAGAATGAGGCTCTGACCCACCCAGGCCTGTGGGATCAGTGGCTCCGGATGGGGCTGTAGTCCAGGTTGATCAGGCCCCAGGGGGCCACCGGGGCTGCTCAGGAGTGAGGACCGTGTCTCAGGTGTGAAACTCACCGAGAAGCACCACTCCCAAGGCGGATGGATGGGAGGGAAGGACAGACACCCCTGGGCAGGACCCGTCAGGGGCTGGGAGAGCTCTTGCACCCGGAGGTACCTCCTGGGACCCTTTGTCAGGTGGCTTCCGCCTAGAACCAACATGCCTTGGTCCCTTGGCCCAGTGGCAGCAGAAAGGGCCACTGGAACACACTTCAGACCTACACCCCAGGCTGATGCCTGTGTGGTCCCGCATGATCCCCCCTGGACCAGTGTCAGCCTACAGGGCCTCCCGCACGTGCTGATGAGCGCCACGTGCCACAGTCCCACTTGTCCCAGCGGAACACTGGGGGCCTGCCTCATGGGCATGCAGAGCCCGACTGAGTAACCAGCCTCTGTGTGCTGCCCGCCATCCAGACTGGCCCCTGGGACTTGGTGCTGCTGCAGGGCAGGGTTGGTGTCTGCCCGTCCCCAAGGAGTCCCGTTCCTCATCTGATGTTCCCTTGGGAGAGAAGCTGCCTATCAGAAGACAGCCTGCTGGCCCTCGAGGCCATTTCTAATTCCCCTTGAAACCTGTGAGCATGTCTTCTTGCTGGTGGGCTGGTTCCTATTCGGCCTTCCCTGCCCAAACCCCTCTCGACCCCTGTGGAGAGCAGCCCCGAGACCTAAGTGCCAGCTGCCACAACTCCGCTCCCCTCATTCTGGCAGCTGGGAATGTGTGTGCATGTGCAGCCGCATGTACGTGGTGTGTGCGCACCTGATGTGTGCGCCCATGTGCACCTGTGTGCGGATGTGGTTGTTTTAGGGCAGCCGGATGATGGGCAGGGTGGAGACGCAGGAAAGGTTCCGTAGTTTCCCACTTAACTCTGCTGGCGAGTCTGGGAGCTTTAAAATGGAGCTCCCTTGGGAAGAGGTGCAGGCTTCCAGCTGGGCTCTGGTACTTACTCTGCCAGACCAATGTCTGGTCCTGAGGGGCAGCTGGGGACCCCAGGACAGGGGAGTGGAGGAGCGTTCCAGCAGAGGCCTCTCCAGGGGGCAGGCCCTGCGCCCATCACTGAAGCTTCAAGATGACAAGCCCAAGCGACTGTGGGCTCCGCCCCGAGACACTGGGTGCTGGGCACCCAGGAAAGGCTGCAGAAGACAAGTGCTCCTTCCTGCTGGCGAGGGAGGCCGGCGGCCCAGGGACAGCAGTTAGCACAGAGCTGGAGCTGCTTCCGGGAAGGTGGTTTCCATTGAGGAAGATGTGTTCAGAGGCCTATTAGAGGTTCTCCCACTGACGGTTTGGGGGTCCTAGGCTGAATTTCGGGGCCACTCTGGGAGGGCTACATCTGAAATCCAGTGGCAGTGTCTGAAGTCCCAGCTGTACAGAGCGGGGTGTGGGGTGTTTACGTGAGGAGAGACCTGGGGCACCAGGAGGGAGGGCAGCCACCAGAGTGCTCGGGGCAGTGACTGCAGACCCCGAGTCCAGTGGCGGCCTCTTCCTCAGGTCTGACTTCTGCAGGGCTTCATGCTCTGAAGAGCTGGACGTTTGCTTCCAACCTCCTGTTTTGGTCTGGGGCTGGGGGGTGGGTATGGCCAGAGTGAGAACAATCCAGACCCGACTCAACCCTTCCTCTCTCCTTCTGTTCCAGGGCTCAGCTCCCATCCTGGTAGCCATGGTGATCTTGCTAAACATCGGAGTCGCCATTTTGTTTATTAACTTTTTCATCTGATGAAATTGTCACATTAGCAAAAATACCAGTTGGTGTACAAAAGGGGGACGTTAAAAGCAAAACAACAAAAAGGAAAGGATCATAACTCGGACAGCCCACAGCTACTTCCGAGTTCCTTCACAGAACCACACGATTGGGTATTACTCACAGTTTGCCTTTTTCCTGGGTAATGTTTTGGATTTTAGCCAGAATTCTTTGCTTGTGTAACACTACGCTGTGTGGCATGGCAGGAGGCCAGCACGCCGATCCTCCAGCTTGAAGTGGAAAGAAAGGGATCCCAGCAGATCAGCGGCAAAACCAGTAAAATCGTCGCCATCGTCATCACACTCCCTCCAGGGACGCGGGAAAGGGGCACCGAGGAGGGCCCCTCTGGGTGTCCAGCTGTGGTCGCAGGAGGTGTGAGGCGGGGAGTCGGCTCACTCTGCTTCTCCTCCCTGTCCTGGAATCGGGGGGTCAGTGTGGGCGAGGCGCGGCGAAGAGGGTGTCCCATCCTGGCTGGCAGCAGCCTGGGCTTTTTCTGTTTTAAATCTGTGCTGCAGAGTTCAGGAAGCAGAGGTCTGTCTTCTCTTCTCTTCCCCCAAAAACAGACCCCTGGTCTCGGCACTGCCCCACGGCGTTCCTTGCAAGGCCAGGTCCCACCCCAGTCTCACAGCGACGTCATTTCCCTGCTGTCCCTCTTTCTTCCCCATCCTCCCACCAGACCCAGAGCAGCCAGGCTGCAGATGGCCAGAGCCTGCAGAGGCGCGGGGCTGGTGCCAGAGGGCAGGGAGCAGTGCGGCCCTCGGCCATCACGCCTGGGCTGCAGCACGGCCTTCCAGTACTTACTGTGCAGGACAGGTATCCAGGCTCCCACGTCCCTGTCAGACGTCCGCAGCCCTTTCATGACACCATCTTCTCCCACGTCACTGAGCCCACGAGTTTCATTTTGTCCTGTGCCTGCAACTTCCCCCAAAGACATGCCTCTTCTTCCCAGATGCCTCATTAATTCTCCGGAGCTGGTCTAGTCCCAGGACAGAATGTGGTTGAAATCAAGTGGCTTAAAAAATTCCTGAGAAATCGTTGCATATCCATCTCCCCCCAAATATGTAACACAACTTTCAGTCACGCACAAACAGATTCCTGGTGTTTCTGCTTTCTCCACCAGTGTTGCTCTGTCATCCAAACAAAAGAACCAGGCTCCAGAATGTTGGAGTGCTCTAGGGTCCTAGCTCGAGCCAGACGGCCAGCGGGTATGGACGTGTCTGTGGGGCCACGGGCACGTCCATACCCAGGTCCCCTGTGCTCACACTGGGAAGGTCCTTAAGGTGAGTCCCACAGTCGTCCTGGGTACAGCCCGCCTATGACTCTGCCTTGCTTTGCTTATGTTTAGCTGTTTCTCTGCTACCTTTCAAGCAGATTTCTTTACTACACTGCACTGGATTGCTATATTTTTAACCAGAAATAAACTAAAGATTAGAGCATGTTCCAGTTAAATTCAGTTTTATTTTTTTTCTGTTATACATTCAATTCCCGTTCCTTCTCACATTTTGGTTTAGGTTGGGGTCTTTTTTGGGGAGTGGAGACATGGGAAAGGGAGGGAGGATCCGTAGGAAATACATTTCTGATAATGTTGCTTTCTAAAGGGATATCACATCTTTTTGTACATCTTTTTTCCGTTCCTCTTTTTTAATATCAAGTGGTTGCTGCAGACCTGAAGTGAACCAAATAAAGATGCCTGCTCCTTGCAGCCCTAAGAATCATCATGCTGGGATATGTGGTTTATAATTCTTTGCAACTCTCTGTCAAGATTACAGACTTTTTTTGTACATTCCAATAACTGCATGACAGAAATGGTACCTACACATGCAGGTTTACATATTTACATGCAAACACCATGAGGTTGTTAGATGCATAAAAGCAGCAGCACAGAAGCGCACCTTTCGACAGAAGCAGTAGTGGTTTCATGACTAG